TGAATATCCCAATGCTACAATTCTCTTACTCCTCATCTCTGCCTCTTGATTTCCCTGGCTTCCTTCAAGTCCCAGATAAAATCCTACCCTCTTCAGGAAGCCTTTCCTAATCCCTTTTAATTTTGATGCCTTCCCTCTATTGATTATTTACTACTTATTCTGTATAGTGATCATTTATACTTGTTTACCTGTACTTTTTCCCTTTAGATTATGAGTTTCTCAGAGGAAGAGACTGTTTTTGTCTTTCTTTGTATTCCCAGTGCTTACTTAACAGACATATTAGGCACTTAATAAATGCTTATTGACTGACCTGACCCACCACAATCTGTAAATGTAATCATGAATGCCCAATTTTGGCAGCTATGTTGTCATTCTTTTAGCTTATATTTATGTCACAATAAACTATAACCCCTAGTTACTATTTTTAAATGAAACATTGCTGTCAGGTTTCCCCCATCCTGTACTTCAGTAGTTAATATTTTGAACAAAGCATGCAGTTTTAAGTTGTTCCATATCATCATGTGAGTTTCAGCTCAATGTTCATATCTGTTGGTATCTTTTTTAATGTGGTTTTTGTAATCTCATGTAAAAAATGGTGACATCCAAATTTATTCCAAAAAACAACTTGAAAGAGCATATCTAATATGTATTCATCCAAGTTGTTGATAAAATTAGCCTTGCTGTGTACCAGTAGAGACCTCCCTACTGGGTGTCATTGATTCATTGATTAATACTGCTGAATCAAGAGTCTAAGATTCCATGTTACAGACAGTACCCCCTTAGCAGCACTAGAGTCAGAAAGGACCTCAGAGATCATCTTCAGGGGTTCTTAACCTTTATTGTTTCATGGACTATTCCAATAGGCTGGTGAAGCCTAGCCTTACCAGAATAATGTTTTTAAAACTTATAAAATTTAAGAAATAAAACACATAGAATTAAAAAATAAAGAAATTTTGTTAAAACATAGTTATCAACATTTTTTAAAAAAAACAAGTTCACTGGCCCCAGGTTAAGAACCCCTGAACTAGTTAAGTCTGCTCATTTTATAGTTGAATAAACTAAGGACCCAAGAAGGTAAGCATCTTGTTCAAGCTTAAACAACTAGTTAATGGCAAAAACTCCAACTAGAACTAAGATTTTCTGATCGATTTCCAGTACAGTTTTTCTTTATTCCACTCTGTTTCCTTATACAAAATTTTTAAGCTAATCATTCTTCTGAAGAATTGAAAGCCTACAAAAATAAGTAAAAAATGAACAAATGAATGAATAGATAGGGGAGGGAGGGAGGGAGAGAGGGAGAGAGAGGGAGAAAGAGAGACAGACAGACAGACAGACAGACAGACACCAATTTTATGGGCAAACTCGAGGAATGGAGAGAGGTAAGACGTATTCTTCTTTTGTCAAAGCAGAGGCTGAACTCTGAAATGGGGCCAGCTCACAGTTATTTATTGATGTCTTTCATTATGAATACACATAAGTACCCCATGTGAGCAGCTGTTAATGTCAGATACAAAACTAATATCTAGGTTCTTCCCTACTCCTCTCTAATCATCATTTCTTCATTTCCATAAGGCTTTTCTGTATCTCTTTTCTGCCCTCAAATCTCTTTTTCTTGGAAGATCCTCTGGGCTGGGGTGCCTTCAAAGGCCCTAGATGTGCCAATGAATGTAGCTGTTCTCTGCCACAATCCTCAGTTATTTTTGTTTACGTTTTAAATGCCAATTATATATTTTCTTTGATGAAAAATACCAGTACACGCCTACTTTGAGTTCCACAGTAATGTGCCTGAGTAAGAAGCCATCCTTTTATAGCTCATGTTAAGTCATTCCTTTGCCATATTCAACCTTATATTTAAAGAAGGTGTCAGAAATTAAACATAATCGGTTGATTCTCTTCATTTTTTAGAAGACCTTTGAAAAATCTACCTTCCACCCAACCTTATCATAGGTGATTAATTCCTTACCAGTTTTTTTTTTCATAGAACTGTAAGGAGGATATAAAAGGAGACATGGGGGTGGAGTTGGGTTAGGGGACGAAGGGCAGATGAAGGACTGCTAGGAGAGTAGAAGAAACAATTCCTTAATAAAGCACATCTGACAAATCATGAAAATAAAGTCAATGTTTTTCAGCCTTAAGCATCTAAGTCCCATCTGCCCAAAGTTTATTTTAGAGTCCAAATAGCATAAATATGCTTTGTGCTTGGATTCCCATAGCCTAACTACATCATATAATCATTCCACCCCTCCCCACCCCCAAACTAGCTTTCATATGTTTGAAGACAGTTTGCTACTGAACAAATGGCTATAGGGAAGTTCATAGTTGGATAATTCACATCAGTAAAATATGTTTTATTTGTTCCTGACAAGGCAATGGCAAATGATAGAACATCACTACCTGGGGGTAGAGTGCAGCCTCTGAGATCCAGTATGTTTTGTTTTTTTTTTGAAAGGAAGGAAGGGAGAAAAAAAGTGTTGCTTTTTTTTTAGTTTAGTTTTGTTTTTCTCTGAACCAATTCCCTTATCGTCCCCAATCCATATAGGTTTTATGAAATAAACATCGAGTGTGTCTTACTTAGGAAAGGAGAAAGATCTGACTACTCTGAAACCAGCAATTCAAACTTAGCATCCATCAAATTGTAGCATGATCTAATCAGCTTATTCGTCTTTTCCACAAGAAAAGCATGAGATGCTCTGATAAATGTTTTGCTAAAATCTAGGTAGACTATAGCCATAGCATTCACCTGAGCTACAAGTTTAGTAACTTTTCCAAAGAAAGGAAATAATGTTTGTTTGATGTGATATATTCTCTAGATAATCATTTTGGCTGTTTATTGTGACTCATTTCTTTTCTAAATTTTCACTAACCACCTCTTGAATATTATTTCCCATCCAGATCTGTGTTTATCTGAGTTTTCTCATGGCTTGAATGTATCTCAGAATTGCCTGGGGCACAGAGAGCTTAAGTGACTTTGCTTATGGTCACAGAGACAATGTATAGGAGAGGTGGGAGATAAACCCCAACTCATTTTGACTCTAAGGCTGACTCTCTCTTTATTCAGGACTCTACTCTACCTTGCTTTAATGACATGAAATTGAATTTTGGTAGAAATCAAAATCAGTTTCACTGGCCTGTAGTTTTAAGATTCTATTTCTTTCTTTTGTACAAACACACACACACACACACACACACACACACACACACACGTCATCAATGCAGAGGAGATTACATATCCCAAAGCAATGTGACTATAGAAAGGTGATCCTCTAGAAATAGAAGCTAAAAGAATCAAATAGAATGTATAAGATTCACCTCTAAAGAAGCAATCTAACTCTTAGAAGTCTCAAAGACTCAAAACCTTCTCAAGGAGCCAGAAATCTAAATATAAAATTGGGTAAGATGAACTATAATTATGGAAATTATGACATTCTAATAATAAATGCAAATAGAAGAGTGATGCTTAGCATGGAGTCCAGAAAAAGATTTGGAAGATAAGAGTTCATGTTGATCCATCATTTCCCAGGAGAGAGAGTCCCTTTCCTGGCTGAAGGGAATATTCCAGGCATTTGAAAAGCTCACTCTATAATGGAACAAGAATAGGCTCTGGGATTAATTAAACTCATTCATCTGAAAGGAACTTTAGAAATTGTCTGCTCTACTCCCATCATTTTATGGACAGACAGGAAAAAATATCCCACAAGACTATCCAACTTCCTTTGCTCTAATCTCATGCCCACCAAGAAAAATTCTTGGAATTAATTCAGTCTACCAAGTACCATAATACTGGGTAGGAGGTAACCTGGCAGGCAGATAGGGAAATTCAGTCACTGTGAAAACATATCTTCATAACAAATTGATATATAGATCTTCTGGTCTGCATGTTCTTGGTTTTGCTTTTATTTGTATTTCCAACACTTTAGCCCAGTACTTGACATAGTTGAATGCTTAATAATCTCTCTCCTCTCTCTGTTTCTGCTGTCTCTTTGTCTCTCTCCTGTCTCTGTCTCTCTCTTTGTCTGTCTGTCTTTGTCTTTCTGTCTCCATTTCTATCTGTCTGTCTGTCTCTGTCTCTCTCTCTCTTTTTGTCTCTCTATTTCTCTGTTCTCTGTTTCTGTCTCTCATCTCTCTCTGTCTCTGTCTTTCTTTGTCTCTGTCTCTCTCTGTCTCTTTTTCTCCCTCTCACCCTTTTCCTTCCTTCCTCTCTCCCTCCTTCCCCCTCTCTATCTCTGTCTCTCAGTCTATCTCTCTCTGGTCTGTCTCGTGAATTTGGTTAGCATAAATTAGCAATCCAGAACCCTTTTCTCATCTTCCCACTTCCTTACTATGTTATTTCAAAGTAGATTTCATAAAAATGTTGACCTTACTAGGGGGGTGATATCTGCAGCTGCTCCTGCCCAAAAGCACCAAATGACCTTGAATCTTCTGACCATTTTAACAACAATTACAACGACCTTCAAGATATTACTGAATTGTCAGTAGGACTTGAACTTCTTAATTGTTGATTATTTCATTGATTAGCTTCCTGACAACAGGGTCCCTGAGCAGGATTTATTTTGAGTTTGGTTCATCATTTATTTACGAGACTTTCCTTTTGCTTGCAACTAGGCCTACTATTAGTGTAACACAATTTGTCAACTACAGAAAAAGAAATGGTCATCAGTAGCAGTTTTCCCCATTGCTCACATCACTTACTTGAATCTGTTTCACCTTGGCCACTCTGCCTGGGACTTTTTGTTTTTCCATGATGGATGTAAAGTGAGCCACAGCAGTAAAACACTATCTCTAGAGTCATAGAAGAATTGCAAAGTTGACCCTATGTTTGGGAAAAATTTTACCAATCAAAACCCCATCATAAATTCAGTGTTAGAAATGTTTGTGATGTAATTAACAGTGCACCTTCCTTTTCCCTTAATGATGAACAGCGCAGTAAAGTAGAAATGATGTGTCCATCCAGACAACACAGTTCTGTCAATAGTAAAATGAGGAGAGACATCCACACTAACCATAGTCTGTATTTTCCGGCTCCCAACAATTAGATGGCCAAAAATAGGGTGTCTAAAGAACAAAAAAAAGTTGGAATATATGTTAGACAATATAAGAGGTACACAAATGTTAGTTTTACAGTCTTTAGAACTATTCATTTACTTAGAGTGGTTTGCTGATATTAATTTAGTGGTTAATAAATAAATTCCAAAGTGGCATGTTTTTCTTAGTCCATCGCACTGCACTTTAAACCATTGTCTACAATTCTTGATCAGCCCCAAGATTACATGTAGCATGGGCAATAGTTTTTAAAAAATCATTTTATCTCTGTCTGCCTCAACTCTAAATCAAATCATCCCTTATATAGGTGGTACATTTTCAATGGGCCTATCAATTACTTTATTATTCAAATGAGAATTTGCTTGATTCAGAGTACTTTCAAAGGATTGTGTTTCATCAAATTAACATAATAAGAATATTTGTATAGTATACTTGGCTTTATAATTTTAAAAAATCTTAGTACTGGATATGTGAATTAAAAATACTGAATGATGAGACAAACTCTTCCCTAAGATCTTAGTGCCATTTGGTCATCTTTGATATTTGTACAAATATCTTTGTACAAATTTGTACAAATATCTTTGATATTTATACAATTAAAATAATATCATTTTATTCTATTAAACCAGCTCAGATAATTATGGCAACCTCTTGAATCATAGAATTTCAGAGCTGGAAAAAGATCATTAAAAATCATCTAGTTCAGAACTTTCATTTTACTCCCTTTTACTGAACTTCATTCCCCAAAAGTAAATGAACAGTAGTGATTGCCATTTTGTTTTGAGATTCCACCAAATAAAAGATAAATGATGTCTTTAGGAATTACTTTTCAACACACAGTACATCTTATTTGGTTAAGAGTGGGCACATCTTTTATATTGCTCTAATAAATAGTAACTTAACAAACAGCATGAAAGAAATAAAAAGGAAATTACAAAATGCACTTCAAACTCAGGCATTCTGTCAACCACTTATGATAAAGTATTTCTGTTGTGGCTTACTTGCTAATATAACAACAATATATTATGTACAAATGCCAAAATAATAATTATTCAATATGTACCACAAACATAGTCAAGTTGTTGAGGAAGATACATTTTCTCTATAATACAATAAACTAGAAGAATCTATTTTTAAATATTAAATTATATAGGAAGAGGACAATGTAACAGTAACCTGTTATCCAGAGGGATCTTGATGACCCAAAACTTTTTACTTTCTAGTATTGGTTGGAATAGAGTTTGTGCTTGGCTATCAGGTGACCCTTGAAGCTCAAAGCAAATAGCCCCAGTCTCTTGGGTTCCCAGCACCCTTCTCACCTCCCAAGGAAACTGAGTCCCAATACAGAGGTCAGGGTACCTAAAGTTAGCCTTTCAAGTTCTGTATGACCTTCCACCCAATTCAATCAAGATTCCCTAGATTTTCTATTAACACCCAAGATGAGGCAGAATAGGCTTGGGACCACTGCAATCCAAAGGTTCACCCTGATTTTCAGAGTGTTCTGAAGTACAGTATGATTTGGGCCTAACTGTGATATCAAGGGCCCTGCAGACATCTCATTATTAGGAAGTGCAAGTCAGAGAACTCTGCATGAAAAAAATTCCAATTAGTCTGATAGGGAGTCTAGAGAACCAAAATAAATATATAAAGAAATAAAGTAAAGGAAGAAAGAGAAGAAAAGTAGAAAAGAGAAAAGAAAAACTGGCTGTAAAAAAAAAAACAATTTTTCAAACTAGTGTTCAACTTGGTTCTGACACTTACTGTCTGACCATGTATAAGTCACTTCTCTGGGGCTCAGCTTTCTAATCCGTAACATAAGGGGGGAACACTAAATGACCTTTGATGTTGCGTCCAGTTCTGACATTCTGTGATTCCCACTGGAATAGTCAAAGACTTTTGTACTCTGCAACATGATTTATGAGCTCATCACTTGATCCTGATATGTCATTATTTCCAAATTATAAATAAATAAAGATGAGGAACAGTTAGGCAAAACGCTTTTCCGTGGTCACTTAACAAGTCTGTAGCAATGATGACATACAGATTATTATTCTCAGAATTCCAAGTTGTTTTTTTTTTTCAATTTGGGAGTCACTAAGTCTCTCTTCTTTCACTTTGAATTCCAAATGCTTTTTCATTCATGGTTGCCCTGCATTTTACAGCTCTTAAATAGTATAAAGCCTATCTGGAAATCCAATGCGTATCATATTATGATGAGTTCTCCATACTGAAATGGTTTGGAAATCCTAATAACAAAAGTTGATACTTGTCTAACTGTCACATTGTTACTGGGAAGCAATGCTTCAAATAACATCTTTATCAATATCCATTGATTACCCACTTGGTGGACAGCATTGTACTAGTCAGGGCAATATATCCAAAAGATCATTAATACTCTTGATCTCAAAGATATTATAATCAAATGTCTGATTTGCCTTCTTTTTTACTAGGATGTATGGCATGAATATTACACATAAATCTGATACATGTCATGTATCATGTCATGTTTTTCTAATTCTATGTACATTACTTGTCTACTAATATGTGAACTATTATGTCCTCAGGCCTCTTCAAACTACTGATCCCTTAAAGCTCTGATGTTACTAGGAAACTCACTGCCTTTGCCACTCTCCCATCTTTATGTTGCCATATTCAAGTCATCAATCTATAGCAATTTTTGTTTTGTGTTGTTTTTTTAAATTATTTTTAGGCACTTGGGATTAAGTGACTTGCCCAGGGTCACACAGCTAGTAAGTGTCAAGTGTTTGGTCTGAGGTCAGATTTGAACTCAGGTCCTCCTGACTTCAGGGCCAGTGCTCTATCCACTGCGCCACCTAGCTGCCCCAATCTATAGCAATTTTTAAATGATTCCTCCTAAAGCTGTTAGCATCCAGCTTGAATTCAGTAGGCTAGGGTGGAAAGAAAAGTGTTCCAAATCTTTTTTTTTCTTTTCCTTTCAAGGCATTAATATAGTTTTACTTTTGAGCAAATGAAACCATTCTGAAACAATATCCTTAATGACTTTCATTCTTCTCTTCTGTACCTGTCAACTTTATGACCTTCATTCAGCAAGGATGGATATGAGAGGACTGAGTATAACAGCCAAGTGCCAGAAATGGAGAATAAATAGAATAATTCCAATTCCCTACCACCACCGCAATATACACATATCTCAAGTTCTGGTTTGAGTACAATAACTTCCACAATAATGGAAAATGGGACATGAGTTAACTTAATTCCAGTAACCAGAATTCTATCTTATCATTTAGTCAAAAAGACTACAAAAAGAACTTTAATGCATCAGCAAAGACAACAGCCCTCCCCCTTGCCCCCCCAAAAGAAAACAGATAACAATGACCACATTATGATTCATTATCATATCTTTGGATTATTGGTGATAATTTGAGTACTTCTGTTTGATTATTTTATAAAATGCTGATTTCATTTAAGTGTCTTAAATAAGAAGCCACATTGTGAAAAAAACCATATTTTCCTTATAGTCCATTACTTCTCATTCAAGAACTATTAGTGCAAAAATGCTTTTGCAATTATTTTATTTTTGCTGAGTTAATGCCCTGGGCATAATTCAGAAAATCAGATTTTCAAGTTTAATTCCTATATTGTTCAATTCACAAAAATAAGAATTGCTAGAAATACAACTATGAGATCCTGCAGCCAGTGTATGTCACCTTATGACACAATGAAATTAAGTTAAAAGTTACTTTTTCAATAGAATTGGCTGACATTTTACCAAAAACCCAAAGAGGTATCTTGTTAAATGAGCATTGGATATTCCGTAGGAAAAAGCTGCTCTTTCCCTCCACTGATGAGGGAAGAAAATGCAAATGTGTTGGTGTGGTGCCAGTCAGAACAATGGTGTACCAAATTATTGCCAACACTTTGAGTTTACAGAAAGTACTATTTGCCAGAACTGCTGTGGGACATTCCTGGATGATGGCTTTAGTAAAAAGCAATAACCAGATGTCTATTTTGTCTAGCAGTATGCCCCAAAATACTAGAAGGAAAATATAGTGATGAGAATCAGATTAGTAGCTAACAGAAGACATGTACCCACCAGATGGACCAAAGTTTGAAGACATTTACTTACCTATTGTGAACTAATTTTACTTTATTCATCAGTGACAGAAAAAAAAAAAAAACCACAGCCAAACAAAACATGACAACCAACCCCTGGGCAATAAGGACATCCACTGTAATATCTATTTAATCATTATCCCTTTGTAAATATATTGTTGATAGCTATCTCTCTGAAAATAACATGCAATAAATTCCCAGACATCATAAATTCTATTTTAAAAACAGATTAATTATTTTCATGTAACAGGATAAAGGGTGCATCTTGTGGGCAAGAAAAGTTGAACATAAAGAAATCTTGCATAGTATAGTGGTTTACAAAAGTTGAGTCTCTTTTCTGTGACTCAACTAATGAAAAGGATTATACATTTCAACCATCATTCTCTATGAAGAGAATAACAGTCATAATTGAAAGGAAAGTTTCCAAGGCTTTGATCGTGTTATACCCTATTCCTAGAACTCACCTTTCCTTTTTAAATCCTACACAACCTTTAGAGCAATGGGGGCCACTAAATGATACATAAGGATTCTTGGAGGCTGCATCTTGACTTAGAAAACACATATTAACATTATCTATGTTTTATGGCATTTTACTGAATTTGTTAAATATTTCCCAAATATATTTTAATCTGGTTCCAGATACACTTGGGAGTATTTGACACCTCTGCTTTAGAGGTTAACTCAAATGTTACCTCTTACATGAAGCATTCTTTGAGTTCCCCCAGTTTGAAAGGTTCCTCCCTTCAAATTAGTAGGCAGCACTTCTTAGAAGTCTTTTTGTGTATTATTAGTATTACATAGTTCATAGTGATTCTGTGTTTATTTAAAATATTGCATATTTATATATTTATAATATCTTCTGCTATACTCAATTCTTCATTAAGGTAGGTACTGTATCTTAATTATCTCTGCATCTCCCCTAGTGCCTTGCCTAGTGCTTCAAAAAAGGCTTGCTAAATGAAGGAATTAATATTATAGCGGGTACAGAATGTTCACATACTGTACCAAATTATTAAAATGCTCAGAAATAGTGAATAATAAAACTTAAATGATTTTTCCAACTACCTTAATTCTTCTGTGTGTATTTTGTTAAGAGATAAAGCAGAAGGAGTATAATAAAGTTCAGAGGTGTGGATTCAGCCAATCCTTGATAACTTGTTGTCAATGCTCTTGAGTTATTAACTATGTTGCCCTGTGGACTCATGTGGAAACGCCCAAACTCCAGGATTTTTAAATATTCAGGAGGATATCATCTTAAGGAAAAGTTCAAATTATTGTGCAAAAAAAGAAAACCCTTTGAAGGTGGTTAGAATGAAAAAAAATCTATCTTTACAGTTCCATCAAGTTTTAAGGGCATAACAAGGTAAGGGATGAGTGTGGATGATGCCTTAGTGTGCAATGTTAATCTCTCATAGCTTTATAAATCTGCACCCAAACACTGTCAGCAATTGCTTAATGCTTCTTTGCACACATCTGAATGTGATGAAAGTTATGAAAGGTCCACAGAGAGTCTTGTCAGGTGAAAATGACATTTAGCTATTGTATCAGAATGCTAACTCAACAATTTGAAATTTACAGAAAATGCAAAAGACACACTATAAAATGCTTGATTGTTATGAAATGGAGGAAAAGTTTACACTCTGTTGGAAAACACGGGTACTTCCATAAAGATTCTGCTCCTCGTAAGCTTCTTTGGAGAAAGAAGACAAAAATCACCAATTCAAGTCCACTGGTTATAACAAGCTCAAATGTATGACTAGGTTTTTCATTTTATTGGAGCTTTGCTGCAACAAATATCTTTTAATATAAGTGGTCCATCAACTAGAATTTATAAATATTTTTACTGTAGGTTGATATTTTATAATAGTGGTATGTATGTTATGAGAGTTTCCCTGTAATATCACATAATTGGCAAGTTAGAAAGCAACACATCTTAATTTTTAAAGGTATATCCTAAGATAAATTCCAATTAAATAGTCCCCATTACTTCAAAATTTATGACATATTTAAATGGATTGTTCTACTTTTACTCTTATTGTAAAAAGAGAAAGTTAGCCATAGTTTTCTTATCTGTAAAATGAGGGTTGGGATAGAATCTAGATATCAAATACAGGGCCAACAGGCCCACAAAATTCCCTGAACCAGATTAAAATATAATTTTGAAATAAATAAAAACACAAAATACATTTTACAAATGTTTTAAAAATACAAAAATACATTTTAAAACTGAGTGAATATGCAACCCACAGGGATCTTTATGTAAAGATTAATGGCCCCTGTTTCTATTTGGGTTTGACACCGCTAGGCTAGATGACCTCTAAGGTGGTATAATATACTAGAGACAAGCTGGATTTGCAGTCAGTGGGCTTCAGTTTATATTCTCTTCTACAACTTATTAGCTGTGTGATCCTGGGCAATTCATTTAACCTCTACGGATTATCATCTCCTCATTCTTAAATGAAGGGACAAGACTAGACAGCTTATAAAACCCCTTCTGGCCCTAAAACTTTGATCCCATGAATTAAATCTAAAGTTACATACTCAATGACCTAAAGATAATTGGCTATTGTGAAGTACTTTGAAAAAACCATATATATATAAATAACTATATGCTAATTAAAATGTCTTTTTAAACAAGAACTGTAGTAATAGAAACTTTTTTGATCTATTTTGATTTATGTTTACTTGAAATCAATAAAAATTAATAAAATATCATTCCTTAAAAATTCAGATTTTTGAACAATTAAAGCTGATTTCCGATAAATTAATTCAAATTGGTGAAGTAAATATCAAGATATGAGCAACCATGCTGGCCAAATCAGTTACCACTGAAATACAAAGAGAAAAAACATCATGAATTTCCTTTGCTTGTATTTCAATTGTCCTTTGAACAACAGCTACTAAAACTTTTTTGATGGAAAAAAGGTCCTTAAAATTTGCTTTCCCCTTCTATTTTAGTTGCCTGATTTTTCTGGCCAAGTGGTTCCCAGATTTCTCTTTAGTGATCATCCTAGACACAGTTTTCTGCTTTTCATGCTTCTCCAAACAGCATCATAATGATATCTGAAATTTGGATTGTGAGACATCATTTCCAGAAGCTCACTGATGAAAGCAGTCAATCCCAAAGTTTGACCTTTAGGTTTATCAGCATGTTTTACTTCTGTAAGCTTCAATCCTCTAATCAGTGATTCCTGACTCATCATGTCTGATTCTGTCAGGGAATATACATCACTTGCTCCAAGTATGTTCAAGTGGACTCAAGTGGCAAATGTCTGCACAGTAAATGAAGTTAGTTGAAACAACCATTAGTGGAAGGGAGAATTACAATGGGCCCGCTTGTTTCATTTGAAAATGGCCCAGACATGCGTAGGGGAAAGGGGGGTAGTGGGGTAGGGGTGGGGATGTTAGAGTAAGGAGGCATGAGCATTTTGTAGCATTTCTTAGTTCAGTTCATGTCTCAGTTGACTCTTTGCAAAGAAAGGCTTAGTATAGTCCTTGCTGGCTTGCAGGAAAGTTGCTGATGTCAAATTGTGCAGGGCATACAATTAGCCATGCTCCCTGAACTCTACTTTCTAAACACACACACACACACACACACACACACACACACATCTCTCACCTATCCATCTTCCCATCCCCATCCTCCCACTGAATTGCCATGCCTTCAGTGCAAATTTCTGACTGAAAATAGTCAGGGATCTTAATCAAAGCCCATGACTCAAAGATGGGGGCATTTCTACCTCTTGAAGACCATCAAATCACTGTCTGTATTGTTCTCAAGCTCTTCATTTAAATATAATAATCAAGGCATTTAGCTTTCCTCAAATCACCTTCCCTGCTTCTGTGGTCTGTAATCCATTTTTCTCTGGATCTGTTAGTAGGTTTTATTTTCTCTTTCTTAAATATTAATTATACCACTAACATTATATCACTAACATTAATTATATCACTAACAAGTCAAAGAGAAAGAAAACAAATCATCATTTCCAAAAGTGCTTCTTTAAAAATCCACAAGCTTCCCATCAGCTGATTAAAATACATTTGGAATATACTTACTTGAAATCGGTAAAATGTGCCATCATCCTTTAATGTGAGAACGTGATCTGAGATTGGAAAGAAATAGCCATGGGCAGCCATTAGTGTCCCCAAATGGAGAGCCTCCACTGTTTCATGAAAAGAAAGAAAAGAATATATAAAGGCTTTTATATCTTTGATTTATAGCAATATAACAGTTCTCAATCTCTCCGAACACACTGTAAAATCAAGATCCTTAGCATTCTGAAAGCAGTGCTTTGTGTATATTATAATATTTTTGATTTCATGAGAGAAGTTACTGATATGATTACTGCTTCTATTAATCAGCTTTAAACATTAAGTAACCTCCAAGTGTCCTCTCATTTCATCATAATTTTCTCTCCGGGTACTAGATTCAGTTGACACATTTTGCCTTTTCATTAATCACCTTCCACATGTGAAAACTATTTAGAGTAATGTCACATTTATTCTAGAGAATGGATTTCCCAAGGGAAAAAAGCATTTTCCAGATAACAGAGGTACAAAACTTAAAACAGACCAATTTTTTATTTTAACTGTTTTTAGGAGAATCTTTTCAAAATATTATAGATGTGCTTTCCCAACTAAACAGAATATACTGAACATGAATATAATCATTTCTTTATGACTTAGTGTCCTCAATATTGATATCAGTTATTTTATTTTGCTGTAACACAGTGATGCTTTCAGGGACAACTGAAATATGCCCTGTACTGTTTCACCCACAGGCAGCTCTAGCTTTGGCTATTCCATCTAGTGCATCCTATGTACAACATGTGGTTATGTTTAATAGCAGAAGATGTGTGAATCTCACCCTGGCAGCCATCTCTGTTTTCTACCATCACCCTCTTGGCTTAACCCACTTCTTCTCCTCAACCTATTGCTCAGCCCCTTTGCTGTTCATCTCTGCTCTCTGCATAGAACATATAGGAGAACTGACAGGTGAGAAGGAGAAACAGATTAACATGCATGTATGTATGTATGAGCCAGTTCTCATTTAGTCAATCCTCCCTATTTATGGATCCCAAATATGTGAATTCTTGGAAAATTGATTTGGAATCCCCAGATCAATACTTCAGAAGCACTCTCATGGTTATTACTGGGCATGTGCAGGGCAAAGAAGAATTCAAGTCATTGATGTGCACTTTTGCAGCTGAGGTCAAACAAGAAGACACTGGCTTTTTCTTTCAGCTCTCATACTGTAAATAAGTGTCATTTTTAGTCTATTTAGTACCACTTTTTTCTTAGCTTTGTATTTTTGCTAGTGATTTCACTGTTTAAATTGACCCCCACTCACAGTGCTGGTATGCTGTGTAGTGTTCCTAAGCTTAAGAAGACCGTGATGTGCCTTATAGAGAAAATATGTGTGTTAGATAAGCTTCATTCGGGCATGAGTTATAGAGCTGTTGCCTGTGAGTTCAGTGTTAATGAATCAACAATACAGTATATCAAGAAGAAGAGATTTGTTGATCTGTACATGAGGCCACTCTAGAAAATGCTAAATTAAATGTTTTGACCAAATGCTTGCAGGAACCTATTCCCATATTCCCACTAAGAACAGTGCTTCAGTATTCACAGCACCTTTATAGAACATAATTACTGTGAATGACAAGAATCAACTGTGTGTGTAAGTTTATATACATGTGCATTATATGTGTGTATATACACACACACACATACATACACATACATATAAACAATTTTAAATAGAGGATAGAGGTGGATTTGAGATAACCCAAGATAGATCTGTTTGGATTTTTCTTGTCTTAGCTTTCCCTATTCCCTTTATTTTGTATGGTAGATCCAAGGATCTTGAGTTGGATGTTGAGAAAAATTCCTATTGCATTCTAAGGACTACTGGGATCTTTTTACTTGACTTGCAGCTAAAACTTCTCATGTATATTGTCTCTCTCATTAGAATGTGAGTCTTTGAGATTGGGGACTATCTCCATTTTTCTATTTTTATCCTCAGCATTTATCCACAATGCTTTATATATGGTCAATGCATAATAAATGTTTTTTATTCATTCATTAACAGGTCCCCAAACAAATACAGCTTTTCAGGATGATTTCAAAAAAACCTGGAAAGACTTAAATGAACTGATGCAAAATGAAGTGAGTAGAACCAGAAGAACATTGTACCCAGTAACAGCAATATTGTACAATGAACAACTGTGAATAATTAAGCTATTCTCAGTAATACAATTATCCAAGATAGTCCCAAAGGACTCATGATGAAAAATGCTATGTGCCTCCAGAGAACTGATGGAATCTGAATACAGACCAAAGCATACTATTTTTCACTTTCTTTGTTTCTTTTTTTCTTTTCTTTTCTTTTTTTGGTTAGAGTTTTCTTCCAGAAAACAACTAATGTGGAAATGTTTTACATGGTTGCACATGTATAACCTATATCAGATTGCTTACTATCTCGGGTAGGGGGATGAAAGAATTTGGAACTTAAAATTAAAAAAAAATTAATTGTTTTATATGTAATTGGAGAAAAATAAAATATTATTTAAAGAAATACAGATCTTACTCTTGGCTATTTGTTGAAACATTGGTCCATGAAACGCTCCTGAACTGAGAAGATTGGCAATCAGGAATCACTGCAGATTAATGGTATGTGCTAAACCCAAGTTAGATTGGGCTTGGATAGAGACCTTGCCACTAATAAGAAGAAACAATGTTCAAAGACAGATTTCATGACTGTGGGCTCTAAGTTAAACATATTCTGTGCAGCTACAGTCTAAAGTTAACAGCCATTTACATGATTTGTCTTAAGGGTATGTAGAAAGTTGAGATAACTCTGACTCTGTCAGATAAGAGGACTGTTTCTATGTTGAGTAAGTGGGTAGCTATTTCTGAATATGAATACATTAGTATTCAGGTTCATGAATACTAATACAAAATCTAAATTCAATCAAAGTGCTTACCAATAATATCTAGACTTTTATGTCTTCCTCTGCTGAAGTCCACTTTTGGTGCTTCTTCATAACACGGAGGTGATGGAATTCTCAAAGGTTATACCATCAGAGCTTTGAAAGGCCCCACCCAACTGGAAAGTCTTCAAATATAGCCTACCAATATGCAAGTCATCCAAGGAAAAACTTTGTGCAGAAAGAGGCTCATTTCTACAAGGTTGGGTATGATCTTTTCCAGGCACACGAATTTATGAAGACTGTTTTCTACAGTGTGGAGATATGATCTGCATTGGTGAGGTAAATGCTCACACTGAAGCAATTATAAATCCTTTAAGTACAAAAGTAAGTTGAACCCACAGGTAATTATTTGTGCATCACTCCTCTGCTTCTATGTAGTTTAAAATCTTTTGGGCCAAGAAGCATGGTATCTACTTTTGTCCCCTGATAATCTCCCTTATATAGCAAAATTCTGCTTTACACTCCTGTGGAATTCTCACTGCTTTTGATTCTATCTGTGGGAGTTGATCAAGCCAGAGTAGTGTAAATTTTTAAGTGCCGATTGCTGGGACAGGCTGAAACAATTATGTCTACCTTGAACTTCTACTGTGGAGAAAGTACACTGAGCAAGTATGTCAAAATTTCATGGAGGGAATTTTACCCTTAATGTTATAGGATCTAAGGACAGTGTCCAAATAAACTACTTTGAGGGCTATCTTTACATAAAGTAAAATCTTAAATGCAGTGTATTCCAAAAGTCTTAGTGCAATTTTAAGCTCTAAGGCTTAACACCAATAGCTTCAAAAGATCTGATACCTTCTAATTTCTAGAGGTACATGTTGAGACTCATTGCATTTGGTTAGCTGCACATTAAAAATCCCTGTGATCCAATGCCACCCTGGGCTTAGAGGTGTCTTCTTAGTTTCATGACTATCATTATGATGATGATCAGTGAATCTCTAAGCACCTCTAGTGTACGTAGCAGTACGGTAGAAAGGATATTTGACCAGAAGTCAGAAAACATGTCTTATAGGTCAAGCTTGACTACTGCACAGTAGCATGACATTGGAAACTCACTATCCTGGCCCAATGTAGCACTCACAATAGTAAATGAGGAGCGGACAGTTGTTAGCATGCCACTATTGGAAATGGAGCCTTTCTCAACCTGAGACTTTGTAGGTAATTTCAAAATATAATTATATTCTCCCTGTTATTAATATATCCATGACTTATTCTCTGCTCATCTCTTTTTGGCTTGGGAGAGTTGCTTAGGCCTCCATTTCATAACCTCTCTCAGTCTGGGCAGGATCAGATTCATCATACATTATTTTTATTATGTTGAACTTTCTATTTATTTTGTTTGCAATCTAATATTATTGTTAATATGTTTACCATCTTATAGGTACTGAAGCACCACAGCCTATTAAAACCATAAGGGCTCTTGTAGAAAAGCAAGAATTTGACAATCCAATGGAGCAGATACCCCAGCAGGTTGTCCTGCAGTGCATATTCCTTATAGCCATTCAGCCTCAACAGTCTTATTTGATCAGAATCAGCAGCAACGAATATAAGTTATCTACACTCAGATGTAGTTGTCCATACTCCCAAGCTCAAGTACCTCACACCCAAATAAGAGTCTATCTACAAAAAGCTCCCCTACCTCTTCTTACACCTTTAAATTTGCCTCAATAATAAAAGGCGATGTCTGTTCAAAACCTTACATAGAGACTTCTGGTGGCCACAGAAATAGCCCAATAGCTGTTAGTAAATCTAGTCATTAAGTTATGTTCCTAGGCCAAAGAGCTCGTAGAGAAATTCATCAAGCTTACTGCAATCCTTGTCAACTTCTCTCTTCCCAAGTCTATGTATTACTAGACTTCATTTGACTTTATAATAGGAAATTGTAGGGTAGGCTAGAAATCAGAGCAGGGTTAAATCTCTAAATCCATTTCACTTCACAGTCTATAATACTCCATATTTCTCTATATGTTTTGAACTATGTGATAGCAGGTTAAAATTTCAGAATAGACATCTGCCAGATCACTGACATATATATGTGTGTGTGTGTATGTATATATGTATATTGTATATATTGATAAGCAATGAATCTCTTTAAGGCAGTTTTGTGCCCTGTTTCAATAGACTTAAATAATAATAAAAATAATAGGACTTTTGAAAAGTGTTTTTAATAT